AAGCTGAGAATGTTTCGGAGTGTTCTATGGTCTGCTGGGGTAATAATATAGTGTAAAGCGCATAGAGCCTGCTGTTGAGCGGGGATATGCGCTATACAAATGCTATTTATTATTATTTTCGTTCCAACCTTGCATACTTTAAACTAATTTTGTTTTTGTGAACAGTTTGGTGAATTAAATGTACCATTTGTATTCTTCTCATTTTTAAAGAGTCTCGGCAGAGAAATGTCCAGTACAGAAAAGAGAATCTCCACAGAACGCTGTGCGCATCTGGTAGCTATAGCAACAGCAAACAGGCTGCCAGAGGTGTGGATCAGTCAGCACCCGTGGCTGGCTCTACTTTATCTCAATCAGTATTGGGCTGATGCATGCCGATGGTGAGTATTTTTTTTTTCTTTCTTTTCCTGACTAACACTGTATTTTTAAAAACCTTTCTGGTTCATCTGACCTTGCAGGTTATAATCCCTGTTCGGTAGGCTTACCTCAGGTGTAGGGCAATTAGAAACAGAAAAATGTAATTTTAGGTGCTAAAATTTGATCCTGTAGTTTTTTTTGTGTGTGGACAATTTGTGAAAAGTGGTGCTCTAAGGAATATCTTACTGACATTTTAATATATATCACAGGTATAATAAGGCCAATTTCAAAGTAAGATTTAAAATAAAAGTACGGAATGCTATTTGTGCAATTTGAAAACGTCAAATTTTCTTTCCATTTAAAAAGTCATGTAAGCATGTGCATGTGGCAGCAATCTGTGAAACGAGGACGTTGTTTCTATTTTGTCCTGTTTTAGACACATTCCCCCTGATCTGAATTAGAAATTTAAAAAAACCTTTGCCTTGCCAACAGCCATTAAACTTCTTTTAAAAGACAGGAAACAATGTTCACAGATTTCTGTTTAAAAAGAAAATCCAAACTGCTGGTATTTGTGTTAATATTATATGATGAAAAAATGTATATTAAACATATAATAAACAAATAAAAATTTAGTACATTGTAAATTAAATCCATGCTAGCCAATTGAATGGTGTATTTAATATTCTCATATTGTGTTGTACGACATTGATGAAGAATTGTGTTGAGGTCCAAAGAGGAGAAATGATTTGTTTTTGTAAGTGATTTCAGTCGACCTTTGTCCACACATGTTTTCAAACCTGTTGTCACTCATTATGAAAACAATGTACCAAGGTTCAGCACCATGGACAGGCATTCTTTCCCCCTTTTATTTCAAGTTTCTTTTTCTCGGCAGGCTGTTTCTCAGATTTGGAACAGGCTACATGATGAAGATGAGAGATTGCCAATGAGGAAAGTCATCTTGATTGAACTGTATTGATGAAACAACTGATGCTCTGCAGTTCCGACTTCGGCTGCCAGACATGTTCAATAATGGCTAATGGTCATCTATCACTGAGTCATTTCTACATCTGGCTAAGGCTGGAGGATAATGCCGATCTTGCTTACTCTACAGTTCTCTGATTGAAATACTTTGTATGATTTCTTAATTTTAAAAATCCATTCAGTACATGTGATAAATGATATAATATAAGTATCTGTGCAGCTTTGTGTTCTAATAAAGAAAGTAGAATAGGAAAATGCGACTGTATATCACAAAATTTGCTGCACAACATACAAGTGCAGTACATCATGTACATATATTCTTTTGAACGATGTGAGAAATGCAAATAGAATCATTTTTAAAAACTAGATTCCTAGTTTCTTATTTTTAAAAAATCCCTCTTATGAAATGTTAATACCCATGAGCATAGTAAAATGACTTGCTTTTAATTGCATTCTCTGACTAGAACTGACAATAAGCTTTTTCACAACATGTGAAACGAATTAAATTAAGGTAAAGTTAAAATCTGAATCCTTGTGGGACCCAACTTTCTCTTGTTTCTCCAGGAATATTTCTTCAGTGCCGAGATATAGACCTAGAGCTGCACTTTGAAATCAACTTGTTTTGTCTTTTTGACATTAAACGTTTCTGCAGCAGTAAGCACTGCTGCCATTAAAGGCCACATTCCCTATCATGACTCAGCTGCCACTGTACTGAATGTAGAGAAGTGATCTTCAGTGGAAGGGAAGCCATTGTAATCTTCCAGCAAGATGTGCATTTATTCACTAAAACATGCAATAGGACTCAATCCTGCAAAATGAAGAGCAATGAATTGAACTTTCTCCAACACAAAACAAAAACCAAACAAACCTCCCTTTTCCCCTCCAACACATACCCAACATGAACAATGTTCCTCGATTTTCATGACAGTTATCAGAAATCTGTAGGGCCGCCAGATTTTCTTTGTTCAAGACAAGTTTTTTGTTTAGAGAAGTTTCTCAAATATAGAAAGAAAAAAATCAAATTAAGGATTTTATTTTCTTTCAGTTTACTGCTATTTTTGGATTAACCATGTTTGGTTTCGAGAGATTCCACTGGGTATACCTTAATATCAAACACTGAACGTGAGAAAGTTCATGCAATCCTCTATAGAAGTAAGAGGGCATCAACGGTCAGTTCTACCTTATGTCCTTACTTCTACAAATGCCATACTTTGTCTTTCCTTTTCCCTCAGCAGTAGAGATAACATACACAATGAAATATTCTTGAATTAAATGTAAGGTCGGCGCACTTCCACAGTCACCCAAATCAATTTAGGAGAGTTTCCTGATAATGCTGCTTTTATTCTTATGAAAACATCAAGGGGTATCTTGCAATAATACTTCCTTCTGTTTCGCTATTTCCTTCCTAATTTTTAATTGAAAAAAATAATGAGTGCCCAAGTCATGCTCTGAGTGCTCCATTTTTCTTTAATTTTTTTCAAAACTTAAAAAAATGACATGGACGTTTGTGGAATGATGCTGACAATATTTGCTTTCAGCGTACATCCTAAACATCAGAGTAGAAACTGGTCGGTGGCGATGGTAGCCTAGTGTTTAGGCTACTGGACTCGTAATCTTGAGATTGTGGGTTCGGGAGTTCGAGCCTCAGCTCGGTCCGACGTTTTGTCCTTGGATAAGGCACTTTACACAAATTTTCCATTTGGCTCTGTCCTTTCGGAGACGAACATTAAACCCAGAGGTCCCGCCTCTTAAATAACCTATTAGTGTTGATAGGGGCGTTAAACCTAATTACCCATACCATTTCACTATTTCAGAACTGGTAATTTGCTGCTGTAGAGCTGCAAACCCTTCCAATCCCAATAAAAAGTATTTTCAAGAGAGCATGGGCATCAAAATTTAGGGTAGCTCGTAAAATGCTCATAAAATGTCACCAGGTTAAATTAATGGCACACTACCAGCTCAATCCTTGTGCTAAATAAAGAAAATAAAAGCATTTCCAGACATTTGTTTCTTAGAGACCCATCATGTCCCTAAAGCATTCTTTACACTAAGTTAGGCACATGACATCAGCTTCCAAGTTCAGTAGGCCTACCAAACAAGGGAAAATGAAAACTGAGGGAGCTCTTCTTCTTCTTTGTGTTCCTCCAACGATTTTCAAGAATGTGACCATTTTTCCTACTTAGTAGGGACCCTTACCTTCAGGCGGCTACATTCTGATTTCGAAGGTACTCTGTTTTTATACTAAGGTAGCATTGGTAGGAAATAATTGTGAATTTTACCTTGGTGGAGGCCAAAGCCTACTGTTATTGATTTCTGAACAACCAAGAACAAATCTTTAATGTGTGCTACTTGCACATTATGGGACCAATGAGATTTTGCGCCGTTATCCACAAAAGTTAGGTGTTTGATCATTCATCAAGGTGTGGCTGATAGACAGCAGCAAGAAGGAGCCAGGGGTAGCAGTAGAAAAAGTTAAGAGTAAGAGTAAAGGATAGAGAAGCCAAGAACAGGCTAGGGGTGGGGAAAGAAAGTGGAGATAGATGATAGAACATGAAAGGAGAATAGGAAAAGAGGGGACAGTAAAACATTTAAGAGATACAAATATTTTCGTCCCAGTCAGGTTTCAAACCCGGGACCTCTAGAATGAGAGGCGAACACCGTACCTCTCGGCCACCATCATACAGCTGAAACATGAAGTACCGCAAATGAGAACACATTTCTTTTAGACGAGTCATAATTTTATTTACATAAATCATTCATCACATGCATTCAAATCTACAATACACTGCAAACAACAAACAACACTGACTGCTATTCAGCATTCCCTGAGACTTTACGTCTCCATCTTATAAGCGTCACTTTCAGAGCAGGCCACAGGAGAGAGAAGTTTTTCTTGTACCATTCTCTGTGGGGGAAAAACATGAAACCTTTCATTACACCAATAACACAGGTTTTTTTCTTCTTCTCCTTACTGATCAATATCATGTAGAATATCATGTCTAAATGCAAGGAGAAACTTAAAGCTCACCTGCTATGAAAGACATCACATCATATCACAGTGGAAAGACTGTCACCAATCAAACTAACCATGCTACGATTTAAAAAAATCTTAAATGCAAACATTCTCGGGTATCATATTTACAAGGGACAAAAAGCATGCCAGTCATTCAAGACCAAATGCATAATTTCTTTAATCACCCCCCCCCTCCCCCTGCCCCCCAAAAATATGCAATATTCTGGAAAACTTGATATTATTTAACCCTATCCGTACGTCATGTTTTACTATTGTACCCATATGAAGTGGGGAACTTTGTGTCATCACTTTCCAAAGAGGAAATTTACTCGTTAATCCGATCCGTTTGCTTTGCATACCAGTCTCTCATAAGGATTTTTTGAGAAATACTGAAAGTTTTAAAGAGATCTTCGTATTAGAAGTATTCTAAAATGTGAAGAATACAACCCCGGGGGTACAAAATAACCCCAGGGTATACGAATAGTGTTAAAAATCCATATCTCCCCCCCCCCCCACACACACAAC